CATTAGATTGCAAATCCGAGAAAGTTTCGTACGGAACCTTTTGCAGTTTTGTACGAAACCACGTTCAGGTTTCGCATAAATTGACGAAACTATTTAAGGTTTCGTAGGTCATTACAGAACCATTTAGAGTTTAATAGGTTTTAGCCAAACCATTTTAGGTTTCGTAGACCAAAAGGTTTCTACATTTGAAACGAATTAGAAACCTCAAGCAGAAAAGGGTTTCGTTAGGAACCATTTTTTTTTAGAGAGTACAACTCCAAAGCAGATGACCTTCCTTTTTTTCACGATCACATTACGGACACTGTCCATTATTGTCTGTATTGGCTGGTTAGTTGATTAGGCAAAGTGCTGGAAAAATTAATAAAACAAAGAGGCTAATGCAAAACTTAGACAAAAGAAATCTCCTTCCGGTGCATCAAACCGACTTTCTTCCTAGAAAAAATACAATGTACAACGTACTCCATTTAGAAAATTATGTGCGAAAAAATCTTCAACAAAAAAGATATTCGCTGTCATTCTTTTTGACATTAAGACCGCTTTCGACTCAATATAGTATGATGGTCTCATTTATAAAATGCATAATCTTCGTCTGCCGGAGTATATCGTGAAATGGGTTATTTCATTTCTAGAAAACAGATTGACCTATATCGAGCTAGAAAATTTATTACCACGACCGTTTACATTAAAACGAGGTACGCCACAAGGATAGCACTTCCAGCCACTATTGTACATTATCTCCACATGCAATTCAACGAATGGAATGCCAGAAAATGTAGAGTATGGACCCTGTGCTGATAATACTATTCTCTAGTCATCTTCAAACGCCATCACCATGTTAAACAAACGTCTGCAAGAAGCCACCAATACTTTTCAACAGTGGTGTAAGTGGAGATTCAACTATCAAAAACAGAATTGCTACACTTCACACCTCATCCAAAGAAAAAATATAAAAACGAAGTTGATATGAACGTAGAAAATGCAGTAGTTCGAGCTCAAACATCAGCTAGATACCTAGGTGTGATCTTTGACAGAAAACTGCAATGGCGAGCTCACATTCAACGTGTAGAAACAAAAATTCACTCAAGAATAACACTTACGTTTCTTGGCAAGATCAGCTGGAGAAGAATTCAAACTAAAATAATGATCAATCTATATATGTCAATAATCATAACAGTCATAACATCTGTGTCACCTGTTCTATTAACAGGAGAAGAAAAATTTGGGAAAGACTGCAGGTTGTTCAGAACAAGGCAATTACGGCAGCATTAGCTGCTCCAATGTACACATCCGTGGACTATATACATCGGATCAGCAAACTTCGAAAGATAAAACCATGCTCATTCAAACTAGCTCAAAAAGCGTTAATTAGAGCGCAATATTACGAAGACAAGGTTAATGATATCTTAACCAATTTGTAGGTTTTAAATCATAGTTTTTGTGCATCATTATTTTAATTCTTATCTGCTTTTGGACAAAAGACTTAGTCATCATGTCACATCGTGCCGTATATATAAACGGTAACCGTATAATTTACAGCTCACACCTCAGTAATTTTGGCATCGAACCAAATGTTTTTTGCCGTTAGCACCACAAGACTTTTTCGTACTTAGAAATGCAAAAATAATCTAAGACTCCCAGCGGAACTTTGAAAATAACCCATTCAAGGTTAACTGAATTTTTCCTGTTCGAGTATGAGTTGACCACAGTCAAATTAAGGATGTATTTGGCGTAAAATATTCGGTGTTTCTAACTGATATAAGTTAATCATTCTTTTAGGATAGTAGAAAAAACTTCCATTGAGGGATTCACGTTTAGAACTTATGCCTCAGTGCTCAATAACAATCAATGGTCTCAAAACAAAAGTTAAATAGTATCACTGGCAGATCTAACAAGTAAATCAAATATCTGGTAAGTACTTTCATATACTTCGACAAGTAATTACCAAGTGTAATTACATAAAAATACTTACATTTCAGTAACATTTTTCAAGACGTTTTAGACGCTGTGCACAGAAAGCAGCTGACTTTACTGCATTTGATTTAGCACATTATATTGATCAATGTTTCTACACTATGACAAAGACAGTCAAAAATGATGAAAGTGCCTTAATTCGTTCTGCAGCATCATGTCGTTTAGATTTAAGACGATGGGGAGCAAAGTTTGACAAGAATTCACAACGACGAAGGTTGTTAATCCAATGGAAAAATTGCATTTCTTTTTGTTTCAGTTACTTCCACTTTTGGACACTTTAATGAAACATTTCTGTGCTTATTTTTGCAAATTTTATCAGTCACAAACGCAGTGACGTAGTAGAGCATCGACAAAAGCTTATTGATTAATTTTTACGAAGGGAAGATAATTACTATGTTGCTACTGAAGATGAAAATCCAACATGGATGATTCCAACACAAAGTTCACCATGTGTGCTTCTCTGTAGGTCACATACGTTCTCAATTAGTTTAGGTTTTCTATTGAAATTTCAAAGTTGCTTTTTTTAGTTCATGATGAAAGCACTTTCAGAAGTGATGATATAGCAAACAAACGTTGGTTCTTTGGTGATGAAGCCCCTTTTCATTCAAAGGGTCGCGGAAGAAATAATATGGTGTCAGGTTATTTAGTTCAACATCCATCTGGGCCGATCTTTAGTTTAAATGAAAAAGGGTATACTAATGCAATAAGAAAATATCCACAATTAGGAATTGATTATGCAAAACGTAAGAAATATGTTCATTTGCACTTTCAAAAGTTTTTTTGCAGCTTTTGGGGGATTTTGTACAGTTTCTATCGTGTGGCAAAGGCACTAAGTGGCTAGGAGTTTGAACATAAAGACTCAAAAAAAGGTAACAGGTCGGCTTACACCTTCTCCTGTAAAGGAAAAGATTAATTGTATGAGTTCAACAATCATTATTTTAAAACTTTTATTTAAAACAGGAGCTTTCGATTACAACTGTAATCATCGTCAGCTACATTTAAACGAAAAACAC